CCATCTGGTCCAATCAAATTGCTGAAAAACTTAATGTTGGCCCTGATAGAAAGGTGTCAGAACACACAGTGCATCACAGTATGTTATGTATTGGGCTACATAGCCACTGACTGGTCAGAGTGCCCATGGTGACCCCTGTCCACCGCTAAAAGTGCCTACAATGGGCATGTGAGAGTCAAAAGTGGACCATGGAGCAATGGAATAAGGTTGCCTGGTCTGATGAATAATGCTTTCTTTTAGATCTGATGGATGGCTGGGTGCATGTGCATCATTTACCTGGGGAAGAGATGACAGCAGATGCACTATGGGAAGATGGCAAGCTTTGGGATGCAGTGTTATGCGCTGGGCAACGCTCTGCTGGAAAACCTTGGGTCCTGGCATCATGGGAATTTTACTTTGTCACATACCACATAATCCCTAAAGATTATTGCAGACCACCCCTAATGGCAATGGTGTTCCCTGATGGCAGTGGCCTCTTACAGCAGGAGAGTGCACCCTGCCACACTGCAAAAATTGTTCAGGAATGGTTTGAGGAACATGACAGAGTTCAAGGTTTTGACTTGGCCTCCAAATTCCTCAGATCTCAACCTGACTGAGCATCTATAGGATGTTCCGGGCCAACAAATGCGATCCATGGAGGCCCCACTTTCAACATGCAGGATTGAAAAGGATCTGTATAAATGTGGTTTTCCTTGAGCTAAAAAAAATAGCAATGTGAAAATGTATCAAAATGTTGAAATGTTGTATCCTAGATCCATGTAAAGCCCCATCTGTACAAGTTCACCTGGATGACACGCTCTTCTCTTTCAGGCAAAGTCTCACCGGTTCTGTTTTGCTTATCTAATCAATGCTATTCAAAGTAACCAGCTTCGAATTCCTCTCACTCATTCATTCTATCAAAGAAGCACTCAAGTAAGACTGTCGAGAAGCTCCTTTGACTAAAATGCATCCCTCCGTCATCCTTCTGGTCCTTGCCATCACAACATGGCTCTCTGAACACTGGGGAACTGCAACCGTGGTTGAAGACTTCAACCATGTTGAGAGATGCAAGGACTCGCTGTATATGGGCACTCCACCACGAGGCATCAAAGAAAGCATGCACAAGAAGATCTGCCAGCGCTACGCTGACAAACCCAGATACGTGACCCTGTACGACTCCAAAAACCGTATCCCGGTTTACTCCGCATACACCTTCAAGAAAACAGAGGGCGATCGGCGTGTGGACTATCCCTGGATGTATGAACCTCAGGTATGAAACTATTCACTTTAAGAATAAAAAGTACAAAAACTGTCCCTGGGATGGTCCCTTTCAAAAGGTACTAAAATGAACCCTTGGAGGTGTACGTTTTGAAACCCCAGTGACAGCCTTTGTACCTTTTATCTGAGAGTTTGAGGACTGCCTTTCTTTGTTACAATTGCAATGAAGTGTTGACCTTCTTCCCAGCTTGCAGAGCTTGATGGGAATGGGAACATGTTGCCGTTCCCTACCGGATACTTACACATGAAGTTTGAGGACAGCCAGGCGGTTTTGGATGACTACTCCGATGTGGTTCTGTATGAGAGAGGTCATCTGAATCCAGACCAGCACCAGTCAGACCCCCAGGACCGAGCAGCTACCTATGCGCTCACCAACGTCGTGCCAGAAATACGTGAGTTCAACATCGGACCATGGCGGGAACACGAAGAGCACATCCGTGTGCGCCTCAACAATTTCTGCCGGGGCACAGCCTACATTGTAACTGGGGTTACCACTACTGGAAACATGATCCGACGCAACAACCAGGACCGTGTTGGCATCCCTGAAGAAGTGTGGTCTGCCTACTGCTGCACTGACTATGACAGGAACGCACCACACAATGTACGCATCCGCTTTCCGACCCAAGCAGCCCTTGCCAAGAACGCAAAGGAGGGAAACAGAGTCCAAGAGCTCACAGTGCAGGATCTGGAGAACTACCTGATAAACAAAATGTCCGTGGACAAGAACTTCCAGCTGTTCTATGATAACTGCAACTCACCTTCACCTCTTCCTGCCTACCTTCATTATGCCAAATGATCTGTCTTACGTTCAGCTTATAGCTTTGGTTGTGGTTTCATTTTTCTTCCTTTCTTCTTTCCTGTAGCTTCTCTGTAAATTACTGTACAATTATTTAGAAATTTTGTAGAGTCAGTTTTGCAGAATGTTAAATTTAGTGGTTTGCAATGTTATACACTACTGTTTAAATATTTGGGGTAGGTAAGTTTATTTTTTTTTAATGAATAGAACTTTGCTTTGTTCCTGAAAATTACATTTCAAATAAATGCTGTTGTTTTGAACTTTATGTTCATCAAAGAATCCTAAAAAATGTATCAGTTTTCACAAAAATATTATGGAGCATCTGCAACAAGCAACAACTGTTTTCATCATTGATAATAATAACAAATGTTTCTTGAGCAGCAAATCGGTATATTAAAATTATTTCTGAAGGGTCATGTGACACATAAATAAAATAAAATAAATAAATCTTACTGGCCCCAAACTTTGAATGGTAATGTACAGAATATAGACTTATAAAACTATTTAATTCAGTAGCCATATTGAGGATAATAAAGGGAAATTTGTCACTTCATGGTGTAAAACAATGGTTGTGTAAGTAACATATTTCCTGTCAGCTCTCTGCCTACAACAGTTTTATTGCTTTTATCTTAACATTAATCATCCTATATATGCATAGTGTAATCATGACAAACTGACTCAGTTCACATACACATGTTCAGTAACTCACTGGCACCGCCTTAAGTTTTAGGTTGAGTTTTTTTAAAGCTGAAAAGGCTGATTTTGTGTGGTATAAAATGGTATGTGAAAAATAAAAAATAAAACCCTGACTTGTCATACTTTACCAACATACTTTATTTCTTTGGTATTTTCATTTTGTTCTTTCAATAAACATGACTGATACAAACCAATAAAATACCTAAGGAGAAATTTCTAGTTGATTTTCAACATTACAGCAAAATATGGATTGCTTCATCACCATTATCTATGATTGATATCAGGCATCATGTCCAGTAACTGACACATGTATCAAATCAATATAACATTGTGAGAAACACAGGGAGAGAAAGAGTAATGAATATAAAGGAAATTTTATTACAAGACCTTTAAATAAGATATTCAAAAACACTGGGTGAAAATGTCTCTATGTCTCTTTTATCAATGTTGAGTTTAATAAGTTTTATTATTTTGTGATTATTGCTCAACATTATAAGGATGGAGGGGGAAAATAATTGGCATGGTAAAAATAAAATGAAGAGTAGATGAATTTGTTGTGTGCAGATGGGCCTTGAAACCCACTAAAAACCGCACTTACTGGGATGGTCAAACAAGAGCATCTGCCACATCATGGTGACATATTCTAAATAACTATCTATTCTTTAAAGCAACACAAATACAGCTCCCTACACTTTAAGGCAGGGGTCACCAAACTCTGTCCTGGAGGGCCGGTGTCCTGCAGAGTTTCGCTCTAACTTGCCTCAACACACCTGCCTGGAAGTTTCAAGTATACCTAGTTAGAGCTTGACTAGCTGGTTCAGGTGTGTTTGATTAGGGTTGGAGCTCAACTCGGCAGGACACCGGCCCTCCAGGATTGAGCTTGGTGACCCCTGATTTAAGAAATGGGACCATTAGGAAATACAGCCTTTATGAAAGTGCACAAATAATTCACAGGTCACACAGGACGAGTCTTCAATGACTGACCACTGCAATCCAATACCATGAACGAGATTAGCAAGCTTGTGGGACATTCCTTTCATTTTTAAGGACACAATCTAATCTCAGAGAGACACAAATGAGGAAGGATAAGCAAATACCATGAAGCGAACAAGGCTGAGTAAACCTTAACTCTCTCTCTCAAACTCATATTCTTCTTTTTGCTTGTATTCCTTTCTGTAAATTGTCTTTAGTTAATATCATTATTGGCAGTTGTAATTTTGTGTCTAGTCATAGTATAATAAATGAGATTCTTGCTTTCTTTGCTGCTGGTTTCTGTGCAAGATGGAGATACTATGGAGTCTTTAACTGTTATGGAAGACTTGGCAAATGTGGCTCAAAGCAAACGACCAAAGTCCCCTGATCCCAGATCATCAGACCACATTGACAAGTCAGATGCCTGTTATCTTATTAATCATAATGCCCCAGGCAGGGACTTTACCCAGTCTAAAAATTATCATGGGATCCAACTATACAACATTAAAGCTGCTACAAGGTGTTCAGAAGACATAGTGCTAAAGAGGGCCCAGGGGCCCGGGCCATAATCCATGCCTGAGTAAGGTAAACTATTTCTACAGTTATGACCAAAACCATGGCTGGCTGTAATTCAGTATTTGTACACTAGATGGTGGTGCTGTCAAAAAAAAAAAAAAAAAAAAAAAAAAAAACAAACAAAAAAACCCCTCGACATTCTTACAGTTAGAAAATACGATATAATACTGTATAATAATAGTTTTAATAACTACACAAAAATAAATACAACATTAAAATTGTTTAAGCTAAGGCACAATCTATTAGTTTAGCTTGTTTAAATTTACAGTCGCCAAATTATAAGTGCTTCTAGTAAAGATTAACAAATGAACCCTCAAACGTGAGATCACTGTTGTCACGGGATTGTACACAGAAACTCTGACTGTATATTGAGCAACACAGTGACAGTCAAACAGCACAGACAGAACGGCGTGCGCTGGAATACCATCAAGGACTCCAGAGGAACAGGGTCACGCATACTGTGTGCTGAGTGTGCTGAGCTCAAATCTGTGCAGGAGCTGAAGGGTGCAACAAGAAAAGTCGCAATTAAGGATTTAAGAATTATAAGTGCTTCTAGTAAAGATTAACAAATGAACCCTCAAACGTGAGATCACTGTTGTCACGGGATTGTACACAGAAACTCTGACTGTATATTGAGCAACACAGTGACAGTCAAACAGCACAGACAGAACGGCGTGCGCTGGAATACCATCAAGGTCTCCAGAGGAACAGGGTCACGCATACTGTGTGCTGAGTGTGCTGAGCTCAAATCTGTGCAGGAGCTGAAGGGTGCAACAAGAAAAGTCGCAATTAAGGATTTAAGAGCATTATGCATCATAAAAATGCAGCTTGCGGATGCAAACATTTTCAGGTAAGCTAAGCTTTTTATAAGGTGGAGCAATTAAAGCAGAACACTTTTGTGACGTCGTAATAATAGGGGAGTCCGGGGATGGTTGTAACATTTTTGACATTTCTGTCTGTATCTTGGAGTTAGCCAGTGCATTCAAATTGTGATTTAAACTAGTTACAAGTGCCTGCTATTAAATGACGCAGTTGTTATCTTTGCAGCACAAACAGATAATGAACGGTCTATACAATTACTCGCTAACAAAGGTTATTCGTCCAATTCAATGCATATTGTACGCATTTTTTTTTTGAATTAACAAAATCACTGGTAAATAAAACACACCTTAGTATCGATATTTTAGTTTGAGTATCGATACTTTCGATACTCGCGTCAATATCGATATATCGATACTTTGGATCGATACGCCCATCCCTACCCCATAGGTTAGTTGTAACATACCCTGGGGTGAGATGTAACATTATTATATCGACCTGGGTGATATGAAATAAGGATTATGAGAAAAAAAATATTTTGAAAGCTTTTTATTCAGCACTGACTTTTCAACATAATTGTCTTTGCAGCACAAACAGATAATGAACGGTTTAGTTTCAAACACAAGGAGTGAAATGTTACAATTCACCCCATAGGTTAGTTGTAACATACCCTGGGGTGAGATGTAACATTATTATATCGACCTGGGTGATATGAAATAAGGATTATGAGAAAAAAAAATATTTTGAAAGCTTTTTATTCAGCACTGACTTTTCAACATAATTGGTGTGTGTGTGTGTGTGTGTGTGTGCACTGGTTTGGGTGGTTTATGAGGACACAAATTTGTGTAATGACATGGGTATGACACAGGTATTACAATATGAAGGTGGTTTATGAGGACACTACCTGTAATTCAAAAGGTTTAAAAAAACATAATAAATAGTGTTTTCTTGAAAATCTAAAACATGCTTTCAGATGGAGCAGCATTTACTACACAGAGCCATATTTCACTGACAAGCTACACAAACTGTTTTCTTAATCGCAGAACGATTTCTTCGATTTCATAATCGCGCGATTAAATCGTCTGCGATTATAAATGCGATTTTGCATAGCTTGTCAGCAAACTACCGCTCTGTGTAGTAAACGCTGCTCCATCTGAAAGCACGTGATGGAGATTTACTACTAATCACAGAACCGGCTTTACTGACAAGATGCGCATGACAATCACATTCAATTAATCGTACAGCCCTACACTATAATATACAAAACAGTATTTAAGAATAAATATAATAATTGTTATATCATTGTATTTTACAGAAAACATTTATTTTACAGAAAACTGCAGGGTGACCTGGTATCATGCAGGGAGCCTATAGCTATCAATCATTAGAAATGTCTAAGGTTTCATTTTAAAATGTTAAATAGTTATGATAAAAAAAATTGTGACAGTAATTTCTTAATTTTTGTCAGGAAATCTTATGCATTCACTGAGAGAAAAAATGTAACTCCTGTACACTTCTCTACACTAGAGAAAAACCATATGGATATGGATGTATACTTCCAGGAAATCCCTTATATGGACAAAGGCATCCAGTTATTGCTGTAGCTGAATAAAATGCAGATAAAGATGGTTTGACCGATGAAGTATCAATAGAATAGACATAAGATTGTGACAATATATGGTTTATCTGTGTTCTTCAATCCATGCTCAGCAGCTGTGAAACAGAGCAGGAATATTAGAGACGTGCAAATGATTTGTGGTTTTTAGCAAATTGATTGAGTAAACGATTTGATTCACTCATAAGACACAATTAAAGAGACAGTTCACCCAAAATGAAAATTCTGTCATTGATTACTAGTTCCAAACCCGTAAGACCTTCGTTCATCTTCGGAATACAAATTAAGATAGTTTTGATCAAATCCGAGGGCTTTCTGACCCTGCATAGACAGCAACGGAACTGAAACATTTTATGGCCCAGAAAGTTAGTAAGGGCATTGTTAAAATAGTCCATGTGACATCAGCGGTTCAACTGTAATTGTAAAAGTATTTGCGATAACAGTGTTTATTTGTCTGTTTAGGTCTGGTGTCGGTTTTGATAGTGTTTGTGTGGCTGGGTGGAAACCAGGTCTCTCCCCTCCGACCCATCTGTGACCTGAGGGTTCTGGAACACTTTGTACGAGAAGCTCGAGATTCTGAAGTCATCATGGTGAGGTCTTTATGTGTTTCACACAGCATGTCAGGTTATTTTCAGAAACATCAGTCCATCTGTCTCTTTTTCTCTCAGCGAGGTTGCAGAGGAGGCTGTGGAGCGATGAAATCCTACTTTGTACCGCTGACTAGTGTTGACTTTGCTTTTTGGGAACATATAGACGTGAGTCATGATGCACTAGCTGTGTTTAATATAAAAAAAATTAATGTTTACATACATATTTATATACACATTAGATACTTAAAACCACCATTATGCAAATAAGTAATACAACATAATACAAAAACATCAATATGCATCATGCACAAACTCTTTTATTGTTTATATTTACTTGTAAAGGTACTTTAAAAAGGCTTTGATATATTAATTCCTCGTACAAATCCATTTTTATCAGTTTTCCCATGCATTTCTCATGTTATCATCATATCAGCGATACCTCCTAATTTGAAGTATTTGTGTATTTTATAGACGATTAAAGCCAGTGTATTACATTGAAAGTATTTCTACTCATTCATAGTGTAAATCTATGTGTCCAGGTTCATGAGCAGGCCGTGGAGGTCCAGACTGGACTGTCTCTGCTGGTTCAGGCCCTGAGTACAGCAATGAAAGCAGTGAGCAACTCTCGTCTGGCCAATGCACTGGATAACAACATCAGTAACATCCACAGCCTCAGCCAGATCCTGCACAGTCTTGATTTACAGGTGTTGTAACCACTGATGTGTTGTGACTATGAGCACATGTGTCTGTCCACAGTAAGGTCTATTCTGACATTAAATGGATAGTTCACCCAAAAATGAAAATTACCCAATGATTTATTCACCCTCAAGCCATCCTAGGTGTATATGACGAATACAATTGGAGTTATATTTCCCACTGTGCCAAAATATAATGAATCATTGTTAAAATATAATACTAGAGCAGGGCTGTCCGAACTCGGTCCTGGAGGGCCGGTGTCCTGCAGAGTTTAGCTCCAACCCTAATTAAACACACCTGAACCAGCTAATCAAGCTCTTACTAGGCATATAAGCTGTGTCTCATTTAGAAGGCTGCGTCCTCCGGAGGTCGCATTCGAAGGCTGCATACGTCATCGAGGCTGTTTCATTTCAGAAAAGCAAGTAGGGTGAATGCGAATGCGACCTTCTTTCACAGGATTTCGGAAGATGCATGAGGTGTATCCTTCGCTGCTACAGATAACCCACAATGCTTTGCGTCGCTGTGAACAACCGTTGTTAATTTGAAAAATGCCGGCGCCGGCAGATGTAACGTACACACAAGCACAGATGTGGTGTTTACAACTTACCTTAATTCGCCTCGGTAAAAACGGATAAACTTTGTTTTTAATATCCTCCTCCTTTTTTCTCTAATAGAATGCCTACTGTAGGTACGCTGCAGCTCCTCAAACATTGAACAAAATAAAACAAGTAAAAGCATTTTTTTTTTCAAATTACTTTCCAAATTTAGAAATAATTTTCCTTAATTTAAGTAGTGTGAGAGCGCAACGATGCTCTAAATGTGTTGGCATAGCAACGTGATACTTCCGGTTTCCTTTTCCACCTGTCCTACGAAGGCCGTCTCGTTTAATTCTAGGTTGAGGACACTTCGTATATGCATCCTACAGAGGATTCGACCTCCAGAGGATTCGACCTCCGGAGGGTGCAGCCTTCTAAATGAGACATAGCTATAAACTTCCAGTCAGGTGTGTTGAGGCAAGTTGGAGCTAAACTCTGCAGGACACCGGCCCTCCAGGACCGAATTTGGACAGCCCTGTACTAGTGTATATATATATATATATATATACGAGTACACAATACACTTGAAATGGAAGGGGAAACTAGCTTAGTAGCCAAAGCTGTTAACAGTAGTTGATTTTAGCAGTACAAACAGTCTTGGTTTGTTTCATGTGTTGTGATTTTTTTAACGAGGTGATCCAATCAGATTTGAGAGCTGCAATCTATCCATTTTAGAATTTTTTTAGATACATTTTCCCTAATGAGTCTGTTCTGTTTCCACAGCAGGCCAGATCCACAGTTCTTTCAGATGATTCAGCTCCTGCCAGCACACAGTCGCAGGAGGTCTCCTCTCTCCCAGAACTTCTGCAGGTGCAGAGCAGTTTCCTGCGTGGGAAAGTCAGACTCCTGCTTTCAGCTGCACCAGCCTGCCAACGGCAAAACAGCTGATGCGAACTCAGGAACTGTTTACAGCAGTCAGTGATACACACAAACTCAGACACGAACACTTGATTGTGACTTGTTACTCAATCTTAAAGAGCTTATGAGTTCCAGGTGTCACTCTTTAAATGGTCTTCTGCATTCGAAAGCCTGTAGTCATGTTTCTAGAGAATGCATCACGTGTAGAGTGAAGTAAAACGGTCGTGACACCTTGACTTATTCAACAAGGTGAACATGGCAGAAGAACCTGCAGAGGAACATTTCAGAGTCCACAAGTGGACTCAAAGGCTTATATCAGTGTGGCGAACAGCTTGGCAGGCTGTATCCAGCCACCTGGACTACAGTACACCTGAGACACTTTTATTTAATTATATTTGTATGTTCAATTTTCTACAAATTCATGAATTGTGCTGTTATTTGTTCATTTTTTAGTAGGCAGTGTCCCTTATGTGTACGCATACTACAGGACCTGTCCTTCCTGAGATGTGTACATTTAACAGCAAGACCAAATGTCTTGTTTTGAGGATTACCATGTGGACACAATGCTGTGTGGCTGCTGTGGTATGAAGTATGCTTCCATCTAGAGGACAAAACAGGAAGATTAAATAAAACTGCAAGTATACATAAATTATGTAAGTGAATAAAATAAACATTCATTACGATTTAATGTCTTTTGTCGAAAAGAAGCTTTAGTATCTGTAAACCTTCAAATGAAAATCTAATAAGGGTCTTCAGAATCGTGGGTGGAGGGATATGATTGGATGAATGAGCTTGCACCTGTTTATACAGTGGATACGATTGGCCATGAACTCAACAATAAACAAAATATTTACAAAGACCATGTCATCTCTTACACTTGTAAAAATGTACAGTTTGCATCTTTTGTTTTTCGTCATGACATGACATGAAGTGGTCTTGTGTGTTTTCCATCCACCCACCGACAAGAAACTCCAAAAACAAGATGACGAGAACAAAAAATGGATGGAGATGAGATCGGTATGCACAGTTGCTTGCATTATGGATCATAAATGTATATTTAAGTGGTATGAGGGGTGATGCCTCGTCCACTGTAATGCAGTATGCCTCTTCAGGCTGTGTTTAGTTTCTGACCGCCACTATGGCTCAGACCTGATGCACAAAGCTACCAGAGCTCATATAGAGGCCACATTTGTGCTGTTCCTCATACACTCACACTTACATGCGCATACATGAACGCAAATCGCCCATCTCACGCGTCCTCTCAGCCAGATCGTTCTTGGCACCCTGAAAGAGAGATTTCGGAAAAACACGTTGAGAGGTGAGAGGTTGAACCAGAAGGTCTTACGGGAACTTGTGACAGGGCATGTAACAAGATGTCCACCTGATGACAAGTGAGCTCAAACTGAGATAATCACTCAAAGGTTAGTGTCAGTGAGGGGGAAGAATGTTCTGGACACATCATGAGCTCTCTTGGGCTCTGGATAAAAGAGAGAGATGGCGAGACTCCAGCTGTGCGGGAACGGGTGCAGGTGTTGATCCCGTCGCTCTGGATGTCCAACTCAGCAGAGTCCGAGTCTTTACGGAGAAATGGCGAGAGAGAGCGACACTGTGAACTTTCCTTAACTTAATGTGGCGTAATGTGTGGGTTACTACTGAGGACTATATGAGCGGAGAGAGAGATAAAAGGGATAAAAAAGGAGAGGAGGGGATCGTGGATCTGATCAGTCCTTCTCCGGGAGATGAGCTTTGTCATACAGCTTCCGTAATTATAAATGAAAAAAAAGAAGGGAACTATTTATCCTCTTTATTATCGTCAAGAATCAGTTTCATTTCCGGATATGACCATGTATCTACAGAGGGAAAATAATCTCCAAATGAAGTGCACAAAATACAGCTGATGTAAAAAAGAGAGAGAGAGAGAGAGACAGAGAGAACGAGAGAGAGCAAGAGAGAGAAGACTGCTGCAGAAAAAGACAATAAAAAGAAGAGTCTTGAATCTCGAATGTCCATTTTCCTCTTTAAAAATAAATCATGCAATTTTCTCAAAGCGCAATCAAGATATAAATGTAATTAATCTATATCTTTTTATATAGATATTTGTAGTGTTGTTAATTTCTCTCCATAGGCAAATAACAGTGACAGTGCAAAACAAAAAGCAAAAATGAGAGAGAGAGACCAAAGAAAAGAAAAACAAATTTGGCACTTTTTTTCTCAATTCTGCAAATTCCTTGAATAAATCCAGTTCAAGTGATTCTCTCCACGTCCGTCCACTAGACTGCGTCTGATTGGATGATGATCACAGTACTTGGCACAAGAATGCTGGTAAAAATTAGATAGTAGAATATTTTTTCATTCATAGCCTTATAAGGTTATCAATAATACATATTTTACATGTATGTTTTCTTGATTTATAAAACAGTCCGAAGTAGGAAAAACAGTTCTTTTTGGGGGACTAGAAACGGCTACAGCAGAGCAAAAGACTGTTGGGGAGAAGACAAGAAAGAAAAAGGGAAAGGTGGCAATGAGGGGGGAAAAAATAGGAGAAAAAACTAAATGGGAGGGGATAGCTGCTGTATTGAGTAGGGAAAATGGCCAACATTTCTCCACCCAAAATCTTCTCCAAGAATGAGAGGAGCAGGAAGAGTAAAACAAGAAAGAACGAGAGAGAAAGAGAGTGTGCTGGGAGTGGACTTAAAAAGGACAGGAGTGGTGTGTCGAACAGTATCCGTGTAGAGCACCACTCTTAGTACTGGAGGTCTGTGTCCCTATGTGTTTGGGGGGCCTGGTCCCCTTAGAGGGGTTACTATACTCGTGTGGTGGAGTGCTGGTGGGGCAGGGCGTTGTTGCTATGCCCAGCACTTGGTGCAGGCGCAGGGGGATAAGTGTTGAAGGCATGGAGGGGCTGCATGCCAGAGATGGTGCTGGGGATCATAGAAAGGGCGTTAGCCGTCATAAGTGGCACGTCCTCAGGTGCCCGCCGTAGCGCCAGAGTGTAGTCCGGCGGGCACACAGGTGGTCTTAGAGGCTCGAGGTCGCCATGGAGACCACGCGATGGAAGAGGCGTGCCGTGGTCGAGTTCCACCCTTTGTTGCTTCATCTGCAAGGACATTAGCTCCTCCTCCTGGCTCAATGCCAGGTCGTTATGGGGTGGAGCCCCCACAATGCCAATGCCCGGCCCCGTCCCACGTTGAGGTGAGAGGCGCCGATGGCGGCGCTGCAGCAGCTCGTGCCGCTTGTCGCGTTTATAGTACAACGCGGCAAACGCCAGCACGTTGAGGAAGAGCAGCGACGCACCCACTGCTACTGTCACGCTCAGCTCCGTCGAATAGTCCCGTGTGTCACTTGGGAATGGGAAGCGTTCAGGAGGGTGTTCAGACCCTTCGAGGTCCGGGTCGGGTGGGTAGGTTGAGACCGTGGGGTGGCGAGTAGAGCGTGTGCCAGGGCTCTGGGCCGTGCCCTTCCAACCGGGCCGGTGCGGGCTGCCGGGTGGCAGTCGCGTGGTTATGGAGCTGATGATCTCCTCATGAAGGGTGTGGAGGTGAGGAACCAGCTCAAGCCAGAAAGCAACTTTGTTGGCACGGTAATTATCCCGGATGCGAGGCTTCAACCCGATGTGGAGGTACTGCTTGTCTTTAGAGCTGAATTTGGTCCAGATAACTTCCTCGAAGCGATTGGGCTTAGTATGGATGAACTTGGTATCCTGCGGTACTGGAATGTTCGGATCACTGGAAAAAATATTGAAACAAAGTGAGAAGAAAAAAGGACAGTGGAAGATAACTGCATTTGTATTCTGGTCTCACTGGGTGAACAAATTCGGACAGATCAAACTCTCACCCCGTCTTGGCGAAGTTGGTCCAGTATGTCATCACCACAGCGCTGAGCATGACATCGTTCTTGGAAAAGTTGCAGGGAAATAGATCTGTGGCACCCACCATGGGAACACCAAACACATATGGGATCTCGTCACCATGTGCTGCGTCTGCCCACTCGGGTCGTGCTTCCGTCTGGCAGTGGTGGTGGAAGGTATAAAAATAAACAGGGGACTGGAACTCCGCATGCAGCTTGGCTGTGGCAACTGCTGGCGCCACCCACTGGTGGTCGGTAAAAAGTGCAAGTAGTGTTTTACGCCGCATGTCACTGTTATCGCGGTCAGCCCAATCTGTGTACATGAACTTTATGGTCTCCCGCAGTATGTCTTTACCTAAAAAGGGACAGAGACACCAAGAGAGAAAAAGATGGATGTTGTCTGTTGAAAGACAAAGTTGGTTGTCACACAAAGCAGGGCACCTTGACCCAATATAGGAGACAGTGAGATAGAAGCACCCAAGGTGAGGGGTAAAATTAGACTGACTACCTTGAACAACCGGTAAAAGAATATGTAGATGTGTATGTCAGTGTTGCCGGCAGAAATCTGTGGGACAGTCCTGAATGTACATGTAATACATTTTCTTATGCACACTTATGCACAGATTTCATAGATCTTATTTGGACCTCAAAAGCAAAACATTTCTTTTAATAGGTATTCCATTCAATGCCTGATTAGAAACCCTAAAAAAAGGTTACATTATGTTGAATATGTACATATGACAAGTGATGTATTTTAAATCACTGCATTTAATTTGGCATGTATATAACTCAGTGAATAGTATAATTTCTTTTGATGTTGTGCTGTAGACTGAGTGGCAGCAATGGCAGTGCAAACACCGGTCAATGTCTATGTTGCGAGTATGTATGGGTGTATCAGTGAAACTCACCATCTGGGTATCCGTAGAGGTTGTCCACAAAATTTGATATGGTGTAGTCGAAGGAAGCAGCTGAAATACCATCCTCACCCTCACTGTCATCTACAAATTTCAGCCCTTCACCCTGGTTCACCCCCAACAAGATGTCGTAGTTCAGGAACTCCCCCTGAGGACATTACACAAATGTCACCCATTGTTCTCACTTTCACTAATTAACTGTCACGATTAAACTCTGAAGCACTCTAAACTCTGGGACCCTGCAGTGTCTAAATTCACACCTGCTGCATGAGGATCTCAGGGTCATCGGGGACCACATCACCGTCCACCACCGGTCCGAATGCAATGTGGTAGCGGGCAGGTTGGATATCCTGATCCACCAGCTCCCTGAAGCTCTTCCTTCGCAGACAGTCCACCAGATCTGCAGTGTCGCTGTAGCTACAACCCACCTTCTTGGCCAGGATCTTGGTGTACATCAGGGGCCGGTAGTTCACTGACCAGCTGGATATGGCGGAGCCACTCTGAGCAATGGCCCTCTGGAACAAACCTGAAACCAGGGCCAGTTACAAGACAATGACTAAGAATAGTCAAAGAGCAGGCTATAATGTGAGTGAGTCAACGTGGATAGAGTGTGACCCATGACCATGAGCAAGATAAAGCCACTGAATATCTTTTATCACCACAAAGGGAAGGCCAGTGGAACTCATTTCCATCACAAGAAACGCTTTCCATTCTGGTTTCTTAACTTTAGAACAGAATATTGACTTCAGAATAGAATAGAACACATTTTTTTAACTTCAGAACAGAAGAGATTCTTAACTTATGAACAGAGCAGAACTTTAACTTCAGAACATAAAATAATATAATCTAAATTTTTGAAAAAGACCAGAACTGAATCTTAATTTCAGAACAGAACAGAAGCTCAAGTTCATAAAATAACAGCAATAACTTCAGAAATTCATTCTTAACACATTCTTCAGAACATAATCTTAACTTTAAAAAAAAAGTTAATGAAAGAATAGACTCTTAATTTCCGAAAATAACACAACCGATTCTGAATTTTAACTTGGCTTCTGAAGACAAATGCACCAAAATAATTTCAATTGTACCTTTTTGCATTTAGCAGACACTTTTATCCAAAGTGACTTGCATCGCATTGAACAGACAAACAATTTGATTAATTCATGCATTCCCTGGGAATCAAAACCATGACCTTGGCATTGCTAGTGCCATTCTTTGCTGGTTGAGCTACAGGAATGCCAGAATGCTGGGATGCCAGAATGACAGACTATGATTGGTCTTGTGTGCTGGCTAGAAAGAGAAGTGAGGTGCAATGTGTATTTAATCTTTAAAAATATTTAATTAAACAGTGTGTCATGTAAACTCGGACCAAGACTGTCAATGTCATCTCAGACTTTGGACCTTACTGTATATGAAACTGTGCTACACATATAAAATTAAAGTTCTGAAACTAGTTTTAATGGTCAGAGAAATAAGTTGCTAAGCTAACATGGTGCACAGTAGAAAGGTCATGCTGGCTTCAACAAAGCATAACCAATAACAGTCAGGAGCTCCTTTTAATATGTGTTGTAATAGGGCAGAAACTCTGATTCATTACTTGAGTGAAAGTGACAAAGTGAGCTCAGCAGTGTTCGAAAAAGGCTCTGGATAAGCATGAGGAAACCATCTTGGCTTTCAGAACCCTGCTGCACCGTTATGTAAAGTGTCCCACGGTTTTCATCTGCAGATTCTATTATTAATTATTAAAATGTTTCCCCCACCCCCACCCCCAGTCTCACACTCACACACTCACACACTCACACACACACACACACACACACACACACACACACACACACACACACACACACACACACACACACACACACAATACTCTATTGCAAGACCCCTCAGCTCCAGTTCCCTATGAAATCAATTAAGAATCAGCTTAGCTGCAGTCGAACACTTCTGCAACACACACATAGTTGTACATGCTGCTCATTATGAATTTGTCTCACATCTCTCCATTTTTATCACACAGCACTCATTATAAACTGGCATCAAATGCAGACGCACGTGTGATCTCGAGATAGCTGTCTAAATCAGTCTAGTACGCACACAAACTCACACACATACTGCAAGGCATTGCCAAAAATCAGTCCCACTTTCAGACAGCCACACAGTATAAAAAGTATAAAACATTTTTGATCATAGAACAGTACATTGTAAAAATATATAGCACAAATAGGGTTATAGACTTTAAAACAATTCCAAATATCCAAAAATAAAAGTCTTCCAGGTTTGGAAGCGCATGAGGTTCAGTAACTTGCTCAATGACAACCCAGGTAAAAAAGAAATACACTTAGTTGTACTAATATCGATGAACTTATTATATTTTTTATTATACTATATTAAGTGCATTGTTATTTTAGAATAACTAAGTATGTCAAGTGCCTTTTAAGATATGCTTAAGATCAACTTGTTAGCAATATATCAAGCTAATAGCAACATATTTTAATACATTTAGTTGTTTTAAAATGGAACAACTTCAAGTATCTTTAGTGTAACTTAATTGTACTTCTTTACATTATTTAAAATACTTTTATACTTCTTGAGGTACAGTTATATATTTTAAGCTTCACTTTAATGTGCTTCAAGAACATTTTCAATAGCATTTCAGCTAATTAGAAATGCATTACTAGTACTGGTAGTATTGTTATAGAGCTATTTTTCAGCATTCTAATATGGTATATTAAAAAGTAAAAAAATCATTAAATTAACATGACGCACACGTACACACACTTTCACATCTAGAAAACTTTAATGTACTTTACAACAATAAATCTTGTGTACATTATTACACCAATAAATTCATTGAGTACATTTAAAAAGTACAGAAGCATATATAAACTCTTGACCAAAATTATTATAGTAAATTACAATAAATTAAAATAAAAATCAGTGAAATGGTATAACAGAAATACTTCAATTTGTAGAAAGTTTCTGTATTACTGGAAAGTACACTATGAATATTCCATCATCGAATAACAATGCATAATGCAGTTTTCTGATTCATTGAGTACATTTAAAAAGTACAGAAGCATATATAAACTCTTGACCAAAATTATTATAGTAAATTACAATAAATTAAAATAAAAATCAGTGAAATGGTATAACAGAAATACTTCAATTTGTAGAAAGTTTCTGTATTACTGGAAAGTACACTATGAATATTCCATCATCGAATAACAATGCATAATGCAGTTTTCTGCACACACACACACACACACACACACACACACACACACACACACACACACACACACACACACACATGAAGTTACCAAAAACAATAAAGTGCAGAAGTGAATAAAGTGCATTTTTTACAAACTCAAACCTGCAAATGGCTGAACTAAACAAAGAAACGAAAAATTTGAAATGTCACCATCTTCATCTTCAAGTGGAGGCTCACTTTTCTTTGAGTACTGGGGGCATGCAATTCAGACACTGTGGTCTATGGAAATGTTTTCATCACAGGGTCTGTGAAAGGAAAAATAATTAATCAGTGGTTTTGAGTGGTGTTTTTGAATATAATATGCATTATAATTTGCATAGATATGCATTAGAATTTCTTTGACTGTTCTCAGTTTACCATTCAAAGCTTTTAAATCCTCATCAAGCTTGACATAAGTGCCCTCTTGTCTGTCGTCACCGTACAAATACTCTGTGTTACATTGAACATAAGGTTAGAAGAGGCCCAACATCTTTACAACAGAAGTGATGAATCCAAAGTTAGCATGATTCTCAGAGTCCCAATAATCACTTTATTAAGAAATATGTCAGCCAGAATTAAACCTTTGAGATTACTGACATGAGATTTAAACACTTACCACTCTCTTCTTTGCTCGTCTCTCTGATCTGATTTCAATTGGTCTTCTATTGAAACAGCAGCTGATCTGAAAACAACAAATTAACTAATATTTCACAATAAAATACTGAAAAAAAAAAAAAAGATGATTAGTGTTTTCTTTTTAACAATGACAGCACAATGTACCTGGTGGGTAATATAATCAAAACCTTCTCAGCCCCTTTTACAGTTTAATCTTTGTACCCACAATCAAACAGGCAATAAAGTTGTAAAACTTGAAGGAATATAAACACTAGGTGGCTGGACAGCTCAAGATGAAGTAATTGTATGGTCATAATGTGGTGTTTTTCAAACTATTCAAAGAACATTTGCTTCATTACAATTAGGCCAAATTGTTGAGGAAAAAAAATCACAACTTAATTTTAATAAAAAAAAAAAAAAAAAGTATTTTAATGGTGTACATGCTATAGTGACAAATTATTCTTTCTGCCAATACATTGCACAATGTTTTTATTGTTGTTTTAAGAGACAAAATGCCACTACCTAGACTTTAAGCAACCATACTGTATATCCAGTGCCTACAGTTGTTAGATAACTAGCTAGTAAGTCAGTTTCGTGTTACAGCGGCTAACGTTAGCATTCCATGTGTTAGCTAACATTTGCAAATGTACACCAGCTCTATCCACCTATGAAAAACTCAGAAGTGATCTTAAATTTAGTTAAACAAATGGAACTTATCACCAAGAAGCTGTATTTCTGCGGGCAATATCTTCATCTGTCCGTGTCTGCTTCGTCTTAGCATGTATACATTTAAAAAAAAAAAAAAGAAAAAAAAAAAGAAAAGAAAAAAACAACAACTTTCAACTGGTAATGACAAGTAACAGAAATGAAATACTTAACTAGAGTCACAAAATACTGAGGTTCCAAATCTACACACATAGATATGGAAGCCCGTTCCAGCCACTGAATACAATTTAAAAAACATTTTTTTTTAAATAAAAATTTATTTAGTTATTGCGACCTTTTATCTCACAACTCAGACTTTTTTTTCACAGAATTGTGAGATATAAACTCACAATTGCGAGTTATAAATTCAGAATTGCGAGATATAAAGTCACAATTGCGAGATAAAAACTCGCAATTCTGACTTTTTTCTCACAATTGCGAGTTTATATCTTGTTTATATCTGTGCGACCTTTTATCTCACAACTCAGACTTTTTTTTCACAGAATTGTGAGATATAAACTCACAATTGCGAGTTATAAATTCAGAATTGCGAGATATAAAGTCACAATTGCGAGATAAAAACTCGCAATTCTGACTTTTTTCTCACAATTGCGAGTTTATATCTGGTTTATATCTGTTTATATAAACTGTTTATATCAGACTCGCAATTGCGAGTTATAAAGCCAGAATTGCGTGATATAAACTCGCAATTGACCTATCGGTAAGCCCCGCCCCCCCTTAGTTACTGTTGCTCGCTCGGTCAAACAAACGGAGTTGCTCACTGTCTTACAATGACAGCTGTCAGTGAAAACTTTCCGAGGTGTTTCTGATAAATTTGGGACACAGATGGACCTTCAAGTGGGACTTAAATATGCCATGGAGGGATATATAAAATATATTAAAATAAATATGTAAAAATACAGATCACAATTCAAACGGGATAATTATGTTACGGTCGTCACGATCGCAATGACGGGATCCCGGATCAACACCGTTCATATACCGCAGAGTAAGATTAAATTAATTTACATTTAACCAGATTAATATGGAGAGGCACTCTAATATAGACCTTTGTTTACGTGTTTTTGACTTTCACTGCACGGTACATGACGTGAGAACAGTTAGCTATTTAGGTTTGTACGTTAGCATGGACTCACTAACTTTAATGCTAACGTTAGCTAGTTTTAGCCAGAGGTACCTTGCTGAAGCACAAGATGACACTAACGTTCTGCTTGAGCAGATGAAAAGTGTTACTTAATGAGAGTATGACAACCAGAAAATGAACGTTTTCGTCTTCATTGTGATTGGGGTTGAATGCTTAGGGACATTTTGCTCTGTTTTGGTTGGATTTAGGAAATGGAATAAAATAAATTACATGGCCTATCCTCTCAGGATAACTGGAATTAGTGTTACAAGTACCCCAGGCACATAGTTTTTCCATTTTTGTAGCATAAACACCATTAAAACAATGCAAGCTTCTGATCTTCCAATGTTACTTTATGGCGCTGAAACCTAAAGATGTCTGAGTTCCACTCCCCGTGCAACTGACACTCGACTGCCATTGGCTCATCAGCGTTCGAGGGGAGGGGCTTACCGTTAGGTCAATTGGTCACTGACTGAGATATTCTCAGATTTGCAAGTTTATATCTCACAATTCTGACTTTATATCTCACAATTCTGACTTTTTTTCTCGCAATTGCGAGTTTATATCTCGTTTATATCTGTTTATATAAACTGTTTATATCTGACTCACAATTGCGTGTTATTAAGTCAGAATTGCATGACATAAACTCGCAATTCGGAGAAAAAAAGTCAGAATTGTGAGTTTATATCTCGCAGTTATGACTATTTCTCAGATTTGTGACTTTATGTCTCGCAATTGCGAGTTTATATCACGCAATTCTGACTTTATTTCTCCGAATTGTGAGTTTATATCACGCAATTATGAGAAAAAAAGTCAGAATTGTGAGATAAAAAGTCGCAATTACCTTTTTAAATTTTTTATTCAGTGGCGAAAATGGGCTTCCATACATAGACGCTTTAAGAAGCTGGGGAAAAATAATATATAACAATAAATGTTCTATTTAATTTAACAGTTCAGTTCTAAATTCTGTAATCAAGTACTCACCTTCACATTGTTCCAAACCCTTTAAGACTTTCGTTCATCTTTGAAACCAAAACAGATATTTTAATGAAATCTGACAGATTTATGTCCTTCTGCTGAAAGACACCAAAACTGTTCACGTTTCAAAAAGTTCATCACAGACAAAAACATCGCAAAAATATTCCATATAAATCGAATGGTTTTTTTCCAAGTCCTTTGAAGAGACATGATCACTCTATATGACTTAACAGCTTTAATTTAGACTTGTATTCACATCCATCGACGCACATACACACGCACAGTAGAACTGGTAAACGGAAGCTCAGACGTGGTTGTCTGGGGCTCGAGAACCAATCAGGTTTTCTAACACATGTTAAGCAAATACACCTGAGCTTCCACAAAAGCCAATGAGGTTTGTTTTTGTGCATCACGTGGTAGGTTGAGCTTGTTTGAATTTAGGCACATAAACAAGTAAATAAATAGGGATTTTAAGCATATCGTTGGAAAAATGATTTATGATGCACTTCAAATAATACAATGTTGAAATGCTTGTGGAAAATACAGTTAAATATGAGCCTATTACAAGTAATGTATCATGATATGCATTTAAAAGTGAAATTAAAATATATTAGAATTGTATTACAAAATAGCCTAGTATTCTTTTACGAGTACAAACAAGTAAAACCGAGCAACATTTAACATGCCTATTACTAAGGTATAGTTGACAAAATTATACATTTATTTATAACAATTAATAATTACAAATTTAACACAATGTAAGAATGCATTTGAATATTTTATATCTATAATGTATTCATGTGTGAGTGAATTAATATACGTTATGTAATATATTAAAATATTTTTCAAGACATCTTACTTTTGAAAAGCAGGCTGAAGCACATTCAATACATAAATATTTAAAATATATTGCAGTAGGTCTACATACTGTATGGTTTATAAATGAGATACATATACTTTAAACTCACTAAACGCTGAATCATTTTACTATGTTCTTACACATACAGTAACCATAAAATATACTTTAAATAAAAGTAAAATAAGTTGATTTCTGTAAATTCACTAAAATGTCACAAAAGTATGCTTGTGTTTGATCATATTTATTAAAAACGTAACTAAGCATATATTTATTACTAAAGAACTTCTAGTATACTTTTTAAAAATATATTAAAATGCAATTCAATACTTCAAGTAAGCATGTTAGAAGTACAACTGTACTGTAAATATTCTTTATAGTACAAATATACTAACTATACTATATAAATATCTGAATTTCACAATTGTTAGTACATTTCAGAGTACTTATTTTTCACCTGGGAAATGAAAGTGTCCATGATAAAGAGACAGAAAAACCTAAAACACACATCATGTTCTTAGAAATATCATCTTTCTACTGATGTTGGTTTTGTAAAAATGTCAGGAATCTAAAATACCATGGAGTGTCATAAGTAATACTTCATTACTACTTTTCATTATACCTTGTGTGTGTATACATCCTAATAATTATTTTTTAAAAACTGTAGTTTTTCTAAGAAATAAGAATAAAAGATTCTGTCAAACTACTTCTTTTTATAATTAGGCTTGTTTCTTCATTATGATATCAGTTTAGTTAGATAGTTGACTTTATGTCCCTGTCCCTATCCAAAATAAAATTCAAAACAGGAATGATGAAAAACACTCTCATCATGAAATATGTGTAATCAAGTCATTGTACTATTGAAAGTTTGACCTCTTCTGACCAAATGTTTTTCATTAAAACAGTAATATTAGTAAACAAATAGTAATATTTAAAAAAAAAAGTTCTCTATTTGAATATATTTTAAAATGTAATTTATTCCTGTGATGCAAAGCTGAATTTTCAGCATCTTTAGTGTCACACGATCCTTCAGAAATCCTTCTAATGTGCTGATTTGCTGCTCATGAAACATTTCTTGAACATGATCAAAACACTTTTTGATACAGTGATACCATTTTTTAGGATTCTTTGATGAATAGAAAGTATAAAGGAATTTATTTTAAATCTTTTGTAACATAATACATGTCTTTACTGACACATTTGATCAAGTTAATGGGTCCTTGCTGAACAAAAGTATTAATTTCTTTCAAAGGGGGAAAAAAAACTACTATTTTACTGACCCCAACTTTTGAATGGTAATGCTGTATGTGTATGAATTACACTTGCATTTTAAAAAAAAATTAATTTTTGAATAAATAAATAGATTGGGGAAAAAAGTGTTGTAAATAAGCAAACAATTAATAAATGTAAATTATTTGGTGACCTTCCTTTAAATCAGGGGTCTCCAAACTCAGTCCTGGAGGGCCGGTGTCCTGCAGAGTTTAGCTCCAACTTGCCCCAACACACAACAAGTTTCCAGCATGCCTATTAAGACCTTAATTAGCAAGTTCAGGTGTGTTTAATTAGGGTTGGAGCTAAACTCTGCAGAACACCGGCCCTCCAGGACTGAGTTTGGAGACCCCTGATTTAAATGATGGGATTTTTTTTTGATGATCATGGTAACAGAGTTTCAAACCTTCAGAATGATGGGACAGGATGAGAAGATTGACGCATGAGGCTCCGGCCCCAGAGCCAAATATGGTGATTCTCTCTGGGTCTCCTCCGAAGTGTCCGATGTTCTCGTTGAGCCATCGCAGAGCCTGAATCTGGTCCAGTAGCCCATAATTCCCCTTCGCTGACTGATCTCCAGTGCTCAGAAAACCTACAGAGAGCGAGAGAGTTAGACTAGAGATAAGATAACAGACAATGTGAACCAAAGGTATAAAAGACCATGATCAATACATGTTGACCAAGATCAAGCACTCTTGAGGCCAAGAAGAGCAAAGTGCATTGGTAAACTGAAAGACTGAAGTAAGGCACAGGACTAAAGCATTAATTAGTCATGTTCATTTGGAACTTCTTGTTACCATTTGGAATGATTCCTATTAATGTTCACAATAGACTTGAACTGGTCATGAATTATATAGGCTGATATGACTTATACAACACTTGAATGTCATGATTTAAGACATTTTTTTCTCACTAGATTGGAGTATGTTTTAGCATTTTTATCAATGCATAACAAAAAGTAGTAGTAGCACATTACTATATTAGAGTTTTTGAAAAAATCTGCGAAAGTGAATAATTCAATGACTGAATTCTTTGGTCTACACGAACATGACTCTGAGTCACTCAGTGAATACAGTATGTCTTCAATTACAGTACTATAAAATCTTTAGCAGAACTTATTATTTAAATGTCAAGATTTAAGACACTTTGTACTCATGAGACTGGAGTAAGATTGTTTGTAAATTTGACCATGCTCATGAATACATAATGAGAAATAATTATTCATTGTATACTGCACATTAGACATTAAGCACTACATTCGTTTTAGTTAATGAATCTTTTACGTGAATGATTTCATGACTGAACCATCTGGCCAAGATGAACATGACTCTGAGTCATTCACTGGTCGCCAGCTGGTTATGTAACCTACAGGAACAGTGACAGAGCAAATGAACAAATGAATCAAAACTGATTCAAAAGATCCAAATTATTCCATTGCTAGTTCATAAATCTATTTATAATCACTCAAAAACCTATGTGTCTTTAATTACAGTACAGTGAACGCTTTAGCAGAACATATTATTTGAATGTCAATATTTAAAACACTAAGATGGGTAAAATTTATTGTAAAATTGATCATGTTTATCAATGCATAATAAAAAAATAGTAGACATTATACAATGTATACTGCACATTAGACATTAAACAGTACATATTTTTTAAAACTTTTAATTGAATCATTCAGTGAACGAATCCTTTGGTCTAAATGAACATGACTCTGAGTTACTCGAGTTGATGCCTACCGTAACGGTGACTGAACAAATGAATGAACAAATCAGAACTGATTCAAATTATTCAATTGCTAGTTCACAAATCTATGACTCAAAAACATATGTGTCTTCAGTTACAGTATAACAGAACATTATTTGAATGTCAGTATTTAAAATACTTTTTTCTCTCATAGGATTGAAGTAAATTTATTTGTAAAATTGAGCATGTTTATCAATGCATAGTGAACATATTATTTAGTGTATACTGCACATTATACGCAAACAGTATGTTTTTTTAAACAAATCTTTTATGTGAGTGATTCAGTGCTACAAGTCACTGCAGGATATACAGCTTACTGGAACAGTGACTGAACAAGTGAACAAATGAATCAAACTGATTCAAAAGATTCAAATCATTCCATCCCTAGTTCATAAATCTAGTTATAATCGCCCAAAAACATAAGTGTCTTCACACTTGTCAATCACAGTAGCTTTGGCAGAACACATTTTCTTCTGCAACACTCAGAACCGTGAACACCAGGGGTGCTGGGGTGGGTTTGATGCATTAACTGTTATCACAGCTTATTATCATCTTGTCAAGCCCATCTTCATGACGAGTTTTGCTGATTAGCCAGTTTAGACATTTGGACCGTTGTTCTCTGGGTAGAAAAAGCTTAAGTGACCACATCCACATACATACTTCAAAACAGTAGGCCCATATACCATTATGGACATCTACGAATAATGCATGCTACCGCTCATTAAAATGGGGTGTGTGAGGCTCTGGAGTCACAGTGTAAATGAGAACTAAAGAGCTTATGTAAGACCGTCTATTTTACTATTCTAACTGAACTGGTGATGCACTGAAAACATGAAATTGTGGCGAGAAAAAAGGGGAATTTCAAACATATTTCACATGTCTAAGAAACCACTCTTCACACTGTGAAAGATAGGCTTCCTCTGGAATATTAAAATAAATGGGGAAAAGACATAAGAGGGGAAAAAGAGATAAAAATAGACCCGCACTTAAAAGCTATGTGCCCTCAGACCCAATAAAAGACTCAGTGAGTGTGACTGTGTGTGCGTGTGTGTTTTAGAGAAAGAGAGCATGTCAAAGAAACTAAGAGGGATGAGTAGGGAAAAAGACAAACTGCCATGTTGTTTTCAGGAGTCAGGCCTGCGAGGAAGATGACAAGCGACAACATATGGCACATCATATTGCAAACAACACACAATAGGAAAACAGATCACACACTCGGCACCTCTACATGTAAAATGCTCTACTAGTGTGTCATAGATGGAGGGATACACAGAAATAGAGCTCTTTGAAAATGTTCGTTACAGATGTTAAAAAAAGCCTTTGACGTCTAAAACTCCCACAGGCCGATAATGACTTTGTTATAAAGGATACTGCTGCATCTGCTACATTTATTTACATGCTGTGCAAAACAGTAGCGTGTATTCACGCCTGACGACATCATTATCCTAAACCGTGCAATCGTTTCCATGACAAAATAAAACATTAGCAGTGATTTGCTTCAATATATTTTTTTGCATCTTTTCCTTGAAATCACCTAAACTACTGTTCAAAGGTTTGGGGTCTGTATCATTTTTTTTAACCCTCTGAATGAATAATATTATTCATATTATTGAATTTATATGATTAGATATGGAATCATTAATTCATATTATTAGATATGGAATCCTTATTTTGTGTAAACCATTAAGATCAATGTTGCTACTGGTAACTAAATCTATTAAAATGTTTTTTTTTTCATTCGCTTTTTTATTTTCAACTGTTAATTTTTCAAAACTCTTAGTATCACAACAGATCATCAAAAGTGCACTTTTTTTCAAACATTTCAACATATTTTCAATTGTCTTAGTACAATACACACAATCACAAAGTATCCTTTTCACTACATAAAATAAGTGTTTCATCTTTATAAATGTTTCATTCACAGCAACTTCAGTCTTTCATAAAGCTCTTACATTTACATTTATTCATTTGGCAGACACTTTTATCCAAAGCGACTTACAGTTGAGGAATACTGTTCAAAATATTAAAAAGCTAGGACAGGAGGATAATAAGAGAACAGAAAAAGTGAAGGCATATAATTTGTATTTTTTATTATTATTATTATTATTGGAGGCGGTTAGATGCTCACGGAAGAGATGAGTTTTCAGTTGTTTCTTGAAGATAGTGAGGGATTCGGCTGTTCGGATGGCCATTCCACCAACAGGGTATGGTGAAAGAAAACATCCTTGAGAGTGATTTTGTGCCTCTCTGCGATGGGATCACGAGCCACCGTTCATTTACCGACCACAGGCTTCTGGAGGGGGTGATGCATAGGAGGAAGCGGAGGTATGAGGTCTTACTATCAAACTTTTCATTTGCATGTCTTCTCATTCAGTTTAATACATTATTTAATCTAACTCATCATAATGGTTAATCAGTGAATCATTTGGTGCATCTATAGATATAGATTCAATAGATATCGTTTTTAAAGAACTTGCTTGCAATTTACAGATAATCAAATGTAATGCATTATTTTGACACTATAAGCGATTTATCTTAGATGATAACCACTATTTTGTAAGTGTGTGTGTGTGTGTGGTTCAGGTAAACCCTAAAATGGCAATCTTTGAAATCCTTTTTGTTAAGTTTTAGGTTTAGGAGTAGGGTTAGTGTAGGGGGATAGAACATACAGTTTGTACAGTATAAAACCCATTACACCTATGGGATGTCACCATAATGATAGGAATACCAGTGTGTGTGTGTTTGTGTGTGTATACCTATGTAACCATATTTTGGGGATAAATTGGTACCCATAAGTTAGCAAAACCTGACAAAATTGCCAAAAACCTCCCTTGGATGATTTGATCCTCATTTGTAAAACTGTGTGTTTTGAAATTTGTGAACGTATAGTAGGATATAAGGGAGAGGAACTGATCAGAGATGTATCAGAAGAAGGGAGACAAATGGCATCAAATGCGCAAGTTAAATTACATTATGCCATGTGTTTGTGAAATCTAGCTAACAAAATATATATTGTGTGTTGGAGTGTTCCAGACGCTACATACCTTATATAGAACCATTACCATGGTAGAGACTGCACACTACTATAACTCACCTTTCATCTGAAAAGTTCAGCTATAGTATAGATTCAGTCACATGGCACAGTGAGGACATTTACTGCATTGACAGTAAACTCTGTTTTCGCTCAAAACCTTTTGGCCATGTCAGACCTTCATCACACCTTTTGATAACGCACTGGATAAATACTTATGCAAACATTATGTGTTTTATGTGAGTTATGCAAGTTGGGTAAGTGTACAATTATTGCCTGTATCACTGTAATTATTTCAGCAACAAAGGTGATTTGAGACATATATCTTGCATTGTTTGCTCTTGAGTTAACTGATTGTTAAAAGTACTAAACTGAAAGAAGATCATACTGTTGTGTTTTGGTGATTAAATCACATGTTCTCAATATATATTATAATAATCTTATGTTTTGAAACAATTATTATGTTGATTGAAAACATGTATAATTGTAATGAAAGCATGAGATCAGTTTTTAAAAGAATGACTAGTGATGCTATAAGTGTGATCAGTTTGGATTTTTGTTCGAAGAGTTTTGAAAATATACACTTGTGAAAATAGTACCAAAGTGAATACATTTTAAAAAAATTTTTTCTTTAATAGAAATTAAAAGATAAAAATAAAAGATTCAAAATATTAATAAATACTGTAATAGTACATAAATAATACAAAATTACACTGATTAAGATTTTTTAATTTACATTTGTGATTTAAAAAATGTATGAATCACAGGCTTGATGTGTTTAAAAGAAGTCGCTATGTTCACCAAAGCTGCAA